GGCGGGGAGCTGGGATGCGCAGGGGAGCCCGGTCTGGGACCGCCTGCCTTCGTCGCTTCCCGCAGGTGAGCCCCGAGGGAGCCGGGGACGAGGACTCCAGCTCCTCCTCGGCCCCGCTGTCCCCGTCGTCCTCGCCCCAGTCCATGGCCTCGGGCTCGGGCTGTCCCTCTGGCAAGTGTGTGTGCAACAGCTGCGGCCTGGAGATCGTGGACAAATACCTGCTCAAGGTAGGGTGGGCCTGCCTGGGGGCCGAGGGCAGCGGGGAAGGAAGCTCGGAGGAGAGTCGTCCCCTCTTCCACCGGGTTGTAGACCTTCTGGGCTAGGCTAGGGCAACTGCGGCGGTGGGGTCGTTGAGGCCTTCCGTGTTGTTACAAAACAGTTTGTGAGCGACAGACACATCCTGGGGTAGAAACGATTGCTGGGGTGAATACTGGAATCGCCGCTGAAGACAGAAGGGAGGGGGGCGGGCATTCCGCGAAAGCTGCCTGGACCACACTCACTTTCTGCAGAAGCCTTCCCGGTCCAGGCTGGCACCCTCCGCCCCATCGCGGGGCCCTCAGAAGGGCTCCAGGTCGGTTGGAGAAACTGATTTTTTTGCCCCCCACCCCGGGTGAGAGTCACTCTAACGTGCCTTCGAAGGTCTTCTCTGAGGCTATTGTAAAAATTAGTTTTATTATTGAATTACACGATGCTTTTCCAAAGTAAAAGTTTATAGAAACATTTCAGTAAAAACTGTCTCAATACCTTCTGACTCAGTGCTTCGAGTCCAGTCCAAGTCCTTCCCATGGTCTTTGAAGATAGATGAAGTGTTTCAAGTGCTGGTTTGAGACTTGACTGTCTGTCTTAATTTGTTTTATTTTTCTCTTAAAATGTTGTGGGGGAATTCTGGAGTACAAATTCTGGCAGGCCACAGTCATCCCAGTCATAGCAAGCAAGATCATGGTCCCTGGTGTCTTACTCCTAATACTTTGGCTTTTCAATTTCAATAGTTTTTAAAAACCACTCTGGAAAATAATTATTTCTCCTATACTAAAGCGGTTGCAAACCAGTTCACTTTCTCTTCCCACCCCACCATGCTTAGGTTTTCAAAAGGATTAATTATGGAGAGTATAAGTTCAGAAAGTGAATTAGTGGGTTTAAGTTTCTACATCAACATACAAATTGCTTTGTCTGTAATATGTGAATTACCTTGTAAAACCCAGATACAGTAACAAGAGGGGTTTTGGTGAAAACATGTAAAAATGACTAAAGCTTATTTGGTGGTTGATTTTTTTTAAGTTGGAAATTAGCATGGCTTTTTCTTTAATTAAATATGCATTCTTAAGATTCCATTTTCATTGTTGCTAAATCTGACACTTTTAGATTAAAACTAGATCCTTTATTTTCAATGAGCCTTTTCAGTAATTAGCATAATCTTCAAGAATGTTTCTGAAATGGGTCCATGAAGTCTTCCACACTTCATGGCCGAGAAGATCGAGACCAAAAAAAGCTTGTAATGAAGTAACAACACATCCTCGGAAATAGATAATACTTTCTAGTGTTGGTCTTGTCTAAGTTTGTATATTGCCTTATCTTGATAGTACATAAAATATCTGTTATATAAGAGAGTTATATGAAGCTCTCTTTTGTAGTAGGGCAGTAGTCTGCCCAGTAAGGTATTCTACATGCCATCTATTCTACCACTTCTTGTTTATATTAGCATATTAGCTATGACTACACTCTTGATAGTATATGGTTATTTTTAAACTCCAAGTTCTTAACATTTTCCTCCCACTTTGAGTACTTTTCCAATTTGTCACTGGTAAAAGATGGGTAGCATAGATATAGGTGTGACCAACATAAAACAAGTGAGGCAAGTACAAAGAAACTGGAATGGAGCATTAGGACGAGAGGAGTAGAGTGTATCTGTTGGTTCATTTTCTACTTCAGTGTGCTGTCCTTTTGGTAGTTTTTCTGTCCTGGTCCTAGTTCTATGATTAGGTATTTGCTGATTAGATTAGTACTGGCTGGCAGAGAAGGTTTATAGTTTCCAGGATCTTCTCTGTTCACCTTTCTTTATTCCCTAAGAAAGAAGAGAGAGACAGAGACAGAGAGAGAGAGAGAGAGAGAGAGAGAGAGAGATTTAGGAGTTTTTGTTGTTGCTGCTGCGGTTGCTTGTTTTTGTTTTTTGAAAGTAAACTTTGAGGAAAGGTGGCAGACCAGGCATTTGGCTTGGCTTTTGTAGAGAAAGGCCATGGCTCTGCCCTAAAACCTTTTTTTAAAAAAACAAAACAACTTGGATATGACTGAAATATAAAAGTTCCTGAGCTGTGGAATATTAACAAAGCCTGTACTTTTAAACTTTATCCTAATTGAATGCACTTTAGAGAAAAGAATAAGGAAGGCTATATTTTTATTTCTAGGGCAGTGTACACCATTGTTAATTCTTTTTTATTCCTGCTTTCTTGGATTTCTTTCTATTATTTCTTTGTTACTTGCACTGTTTTTTTTTAAATAGTGAGTATGTAGTTCTTTTAAAGAAAGACCAAAACTTAAAATTTCATCAAAAAGGAGACTAGCAAAGCAAAAAACTTGGAAATTTGGAAATAGATGAGCTAAATATAATTAGAAGCCAGTAAAACTTCAATCTTTCAGCTTCAAAGTTCTGTGTGTAATTCATATCACAGATAAACATGCTGAATGGTAGTTATAATCTGAGAGAATCATTGGACAGAAAATTCTTTTATTATAAAATAGTATTACAAAAGCCACATCTCACAGTAATTTACTTTCCTGTTTTTGTCATCATATCCATTGGGAGGGTGTAACTGGTGATTTTGCACCATTGCTGATCTTTTACATGACATTTAATTCATCATAAACCCAGTTCCTGTGTCTATTTAACAAGAGCAAACTTTGGGAGTCTTGTGTTGCAGGCCAGTTCAATCCAATACACACCTTCGTTCTAAATTCTGATGCTTTTATAGTACAATGGCGACATTTAAAGTGAGATTAATTGTGCATTGTTTCCCCCAAGTGATATTTCTTGTGCCTTTAGAAATGATAAAGTGCTTTAAAAAAAAAAAACAACAAAAAAACCCACCATGTTATATCTTACTATTTGAAGAATAAATGAAAAATACGCTTGGTACCTTTTTATAGCCACTTAGAATGATACTGAAATCAGTGGGGTTGCCAGTAGTTTACTCCATGGCTACACTGTTTCTGTAGAGTGGGGTAATGTTTGCAGAGGGGCAGGGCTACTGCCATGGTTGCACTTAGCTCTGCCTTAGCCATTTCTGGTTGAAGGAAAGAGATGCCCAGCTTCTTCACCCAGATGACTGTCTTTCAAAGCTGTTTTCCACTTTCTTTGGTGTTCTTTTAAACAAATGTACACTTTGCAATTATATGCCCAAAAAGTAGGCTGTGAAGGTGCTCTTAACTATCAGGTTGCATGGGAGGAAGAACTGGAGGAAAAAAAATAAACAAGACATCTATGTGTAGGACTTTCAAGTGACCAGAATTTTCCTTGTGTTCATAGAGGTTTGATTTAAGAAAGAAACAACTCAAATTCTTTAAAGTGGCATATACTATATAGAGATATATCAGTGAGTTGTTTTTTTCCTGGCTGGAGTGTAAAAGTGAATGTAGTCAGATAGGTGATATTTACATGAATGACCCAGTTTGGATGGAAACAATCACAGTGTGTGTGAAATTCAAAGGGCCAGCATCTCGGCTGCCTGGGGAGTGGCTCCTCACGCTGCCCTCTTCCCTTTGCAGGTGAATGGCCTGTGCTGGCACGTCCGATGTCTGTCCTGCAGTGTCTGCAGAACCTCCCTAGGAAGGCACACAAGCTGTTACATTAAAGACAAAGACATTTTCTGCAAACTCGACTATTTCAGGTACACTGTGAAGCTTATTCTCAGGAAAGTATGCATTCCAAGAAATTATTCAGCAAAAAAGAATTTTGTAATAAGCACTTGTCCAGTTTCATTTATCATAAGCCCAGTTTTTCCTGTATAAGGGATTATGAAATTATTTTGAAGTCTATTTTATATTAAAACAAAATAAATGTGTTTTCCTTCTCTAGGAATTTGATATCCAAAAATTAGTGGTAAATAATACTTCTACTGTAGAGGGTGAGTTTTAGACTCTAAAAGCCAGGAAACTTCTGTGCAGGGCATGGATATAAAGTATGAAATACACCATGCCTTGATGTGACAAAGATCCTTGTCAGGGGGAAGAGATAAGGTAAAAGAAACTGATTACAGAGGAAAACAGATTTTGTAAGCTTTCACCAGTTTACCATGGAAAGATCCCTAGTTATACATTCATGAGTGGCCAGGAGTTTGGAAAGTGTGATGAACCGTGTTATTCAGAAGGTTTGATCATTCCTATGCCATAAATACACCAAATCAAATTAGTGTGCCTAAAAAATCATGTGTTATTTGTCTATTCTTTGATCTTTAGTTTTTAAGATTGTATTTGCACAAGATGCAAACTTTCTGTGATCTCTTTATAATTACTTAGATGTAGTTTCTTCTAGGGTGATTCTTTATGGATAGCTGTCTAGAAATTGAAATTGTTCCTAAGAATGACTTTTAAAATTACTATATTTCTTGGATTTTTCAAATGAAGAAAAATATTCATTAGGAATTTGTGTTAATTCTACATAGTGAAGTTTATAATATGTTGTTTATACTCCATTTCAAAAATGATTTTAGTGAATTTAGTGGTTAATTTAAATAAAATGAGGTAATTTAAATCACTTTACAATAGGCAGAGTCATTTATTTTGTAAAATCACAGAAAAAAAAAATCTCAGTTTTGTGACTACCCCAAGTATATATTTCTCATTAGTCATATTCTCAATTTCTTTAACCATAGCTAATAGGTTGCTGCTTCTTTGACATTAAATATGCTCACCTTAGTTTTTTATGGTAAATTGAAACCTTTTTAAAGGTTCAGGATTAAAAATCTAGTTCTTAAGGATGTTTAATACTTTATATTTTATTACTTTCTGAAATTTATTTTTAAGACTCAGTGTTTTGGTGTGATTTTTAAAAACCTGGCAGTACCTCTAATGACGTTTGAATGAGTAGACAGGGACCCACGTGCTATCCTAGCGTGAGCTGACCCTGCTGGTCTGCGCCTGAGGTTGTGAGAGGAGACAAGCAGAGTGTCTGGTCACTCAGACTGGGAAAAGGGAAATATTCACCTCTGGTCTGGCATTTTGTTACGTTTAACCTGTGTTTAATGTCTAAATATGTCTCTTAAAGTTTTAGATAATATTCCCTTGCTCCTGTGAAGTAACAGTTTGATAACTTTCCATGAAGGGAAACATTTCTGAGTTTTCCTCTGTCACTTACCAGGGTGAAGAATTCCAGTTCTCTGCATTCTTTGATAATGTCAATTTTAAATGTTGTAGACATTAACATATAGCATTTCCTAGTCATCTCAGCTTGATTCTTTTGTTTGTTTTGATTTTTTTTTTTTGACACTGAGGATCACAGCCAGGGCCTTGTGAATACTAAAGACAAGCTGTACTACTGAGCTACACCTCCCAGTATCACAACTTGGCTTTAAAAAGTCATTATTCATATCTGGTTGGCATACTTTTGCACTTTTAGGTTTTATATCTGGAATGTGTGTGTGTGTTTGTGCATGCATGTGTACACACGTGTTTTTACCTTGAGCCTCCAGGTACATTTATAAATATCCTGATATTTGAGGCAATAAGGGGGGTATTGATACTTGTGCCTTCTTTATTTTAAGAGGTTTTATTTTTAAAAATAGATTTGAACTGTGACTCTCAAATTTTACTTGCTTAGCCTATGGACTTAGAAAAGTAACTCCTGTTTCACTTTCATGCTATTTGCATAGTGAGGTCACTCCAGTGAATTACATTATGTGTCAGTTTCGTGTTGGACGGATACATGCCTTCCCAAGCATCAAAGTCTCCCACTCTTGCCCTCTGTTTCCTGTAGAAGGTACGGGACTCGCTGCTCTCGATGTGGCAGGCACATCCATTCTACTGACTGGGTCCGGAGGGCCAAAGGAAATGTCTATCACTTGGCGTGTTTTGCCTGCTTTTCTTGCAAAAGGCAACTTTCCACGGGAGAGGAGTTTGCACTGGTGGAAGAGAAAGTCCTCTGCAGAGTGCATTATGACTGCATGCTGGATAATTTAAAAAGAGAAGTGGAAAATGGTAAATATGTACTTAAAATACTTTGCAGTCTTTGGGGACAGTGACTGGAGGGATAAAAATGATGTTTTCCTAAGGTCATCATGATGCATTATTTTAGGCAAAATATAATTGCGGTAAAATTCATCAAGCACTCTACAGCTCATGATGATCTCCATCTGCTTGTTGCTGGGAGAACCGTGGTGTATGCATTAGCTCTGTTCTCTGGCAGAGCCTCGGGTCAGGCCTCAGCTTCTTCCTGCTGTAAACAATCGGGTCCCTGTGTTTGCCTTCCTAAGGACGGGCCTTAGATGTGCACTTCTTTTTGCACTTTAGACTGAATACACAAGCCCATAAATGGAATATTGTTTCTACAGTGTCTTTGTGACATGTTTAATTAAAACGCAGTGGGTTTTCATTTGGGTGTGGTGATGCATCCCTGTAATCTCAGCACTTCAGGAAGCTGAAGTAGGACTGTAAAATCACAAGTTCAGGACCAGCCTGGGCGACGTCATGACTTGTACTGAGACCCTGTCTCAAAATAAAAGATAAAAAAAAATTTTAAAAGCTGCAGATATAGCTCAGTGATTACGTCTTGAGTTTGATACCCGGTATTGTGGGGGAAAACAAAAGTAAAAGAAAAAAGTTTGTTTTTTTTTAATCAAGAAGATATATAAAGTTTTATAAGACAAGAAGTGCAAGAAAACTTATTGCTGTGCAAGTGGTGGACCCATGTGAGTTACCAACATGTTTGGTATGTTTTTTAAATGCAGGTAATGGGATTAGTGTGGAAGGTGCCCTCCTTACAGAGCAAGATGTTAATCATCCAAAACCAGCAAAAAGAGCTCGGACCAGCTTTACCGCAGATCAGCTCCAGGTAGACCTGGCAAAGAATTTATGATTTTTGAAGCCCCTCCCCGCCACAAAAGAAATCCCCAAACAAAAGAGCAATTTCCATGTTGCCTAAAAACAGTTATGTTTTCTCAATATTTAACCTATCTTTTCTTGAAACCAAGTTGATAAAGACGTGGAAATGTACTTATGGCTCTAAAATGTTTCTCAGTGTTTCCAGTGCCATGGTATGAACGGTCCAGTCATCTAGCTCTGTTTCCTTGGAGTCTGTGGTATCAGCAGCAAAGTGGAAACCAAATGTGGATCTGTTCTGGCTTGCTGATAACATCAGTTTAATCCAGACATGTATATTAGTGTATGTAATTGCAATAGAAGACAAACTCTATTTTGAAACTCTTAACAGAAAAAGACAGCATGTCAGTCTGCTAAGCTCCAATTTGTTGGTCTTTTTTAACAAACTACAGTGGGTATTTTAATGGACAAGATTGTATGTGTTTTGAGTAGGAAAGAATTGAATATACCTGCCTTATTTAATAGTTACATAGTTCCTTTCTTGATTTTAAAAAGGGTAGAGGAAATAATTCTATAATTTAGTGGTAAAGGTTGATTGTGCCCCCGGCAAGGGAAGGATTATTTTCATCTTAGTTGTCTTAAAGATAATTGTCATAAGTTTGATTTGTACAAAATTTCAGGAAAATAATGAAATAATTGCTCCTTGATTTATACTTTATATTTAAGTCTACACATATAATGATTCTTTCCAGCATTTTTTCAGATAACGCAATCACATTTTCTAAAAGATTAATGTGGGTAAGGTATTTGTTTTAGGTTAAGGTAAGGTACGTTGGGCACCTGCCATTCACCGCTGAGTGCATTAGTGTCTCTATTTTAGCTCAGACTTTAGAAGATATTTAGGCAATATTAACAAATGGATGAAAGTAACGTTCTGAAAACCACCTGTAGCACTCTTAAGACCTGCCAGATCTTAAGGTGGTTAGTACAATTAAAAGGGAGAATTTTATTTTCAGAAAGATTTTGGAAGGAAACCTGGATATGATGCAAACATTTCAAGGAAACTTAACCATGGAAAGTCCTCTAGCATTAAAATCTAGACTCATTCAAGAAAAAAATCCAAATAGATAATTGGCATGAAATTCTTAGGCATAAAAGTCCGTGGTCAATAAGCGATAAATGAAAGGTAAGACAGTGGAGAGAAACATCTCCATATGAACTGTGCACACCTGGAAGCTGCTCTGGGTTGGAGCAGAGATCACACACACACACACGCAAGTTAGGTGTGAGCACGTGTGCAAGCTCTGGGAAAACACCTCCTTGTGTGTGGGTTAAAACAGAATCTCTACTATCAATGTATCTGTTGTTTTTTTTTTTTTTTTTAACATGGACTGTTCACATGAAGGGCTGGCTATGATCTTATGAGTCATAAGATTGATAACTTTAATTTGATGTAAAATTTGTTGCAATTATCGCTGTGAAAATTTGAAACAAGTGTGTATAGAATCACCTATGGGGAGATAATTGTAGATACTGATGAAATAAAAAGAGAATACTTGTGAAGGTCTTTTCATGTCAAGTCCAACGCCAGGCTCCCTGACACTGTCTCCTCTAACTGTCCCAGCAATTCCTTGGTGTAGTCGCTTCTCGAAGAGGTCTAGGAACTCCTCTGAAGGCGCAGCTCCGAGGAGATGGCAGAGAAGAGATTCAGGCCCTACTCACACAACCTCTGCTCTTTTCATAAGCCTGGCCTTCAAGGAGGCCATGGGTGCAATTGAGCCTTAACCAAACCCCACTTAACGGCAGTAACAACCGTTAAAATAAGAGATCCTGCCCCTTGCAGCTAGGTTTGCAGTTTAAAATTGCAAACATGCATAAAATATTTAAGCCATGCGTTATTGTGCAAATGTGGTCTGAATAATGCTTTTAAAAATATTTGTCAGAATCATAGGTTTTTAAAAATGAATGCAATAAGTTTTAAAGTATGTTTTCCTTTTTTCAATATTTATTAGCATTTATCTTACACCACGGATAACTGAAACAAATGAAATACAACCGTCACGTAGTTTTTTGAAATTTAGGCATTTGGGATAGCTGTAGATTTAAAAAACAAACAGACTTACTTGAATCATTTACTTTTGCCAGATCTTCTAATAAATCCGGCAATGTACCCTCATTGTCAAATTCTCCTACTTTCAGAATATTCCATTTTTCTCAAGATTATTAATGTGGTACCTGCTTTAGACAGATGTGAGTTAAAGTGGAATCAATAAAGGGCTAGAGATGTAGCTCACTGGTAGAAGGTAGAATGCTTGACCAGTCTGAGGCCCTGGCTTCCATCCCCGGAACTGAAACAAACAAACAAAATAAATAAGACCTCCCCAATTCTTCTTTAAAATTAATGGGAAGGAAAAATAGCTTTCCTCAGAGGATGTGTCCACAAATGTTATGAAATATTGTCTCTTATAAGAATGATACTAAGAAGTTTCTGCTGATATTATGGTTTGCTTATTATCCCTGCAAGCACGTAGCCAATGACTATTATTACACATGCCACATTTAGCTTCTACTTTTATCTGTTTTCAGATCTGTTAAATTGGTCAGATGCCTGACATTTTTGGTAGGCCTCCTGGCCGCTGACTAGCTACGTAAGCTGGCTCTGACCTTGTTAGAGGTGTTGAGGGAAGAAGGAGGGTGGGATTCAGCCCCAGTACTGTTTGGATAACAGTACAAACTAGAAGAATTTAAAAGGATTTTTTTTGAAACGCTGATACTATTAAAAAGAAAGATCAATGAGTACTACCTTTTCCAAAGAATATTCCATTTCAAATAATCCATGTGGACCTGAACTTTGTCTTATTCCTTGATGAAAATTTCCTTTATTAAATGTAATTTGGTTCCACTATTAAACTTGTCAATCTGAAATTCATTTGTGAAGAGCATCCCGTTTGTTTTTTAAACAGATTGTCAGTAATGATCTCACAAACAAATCTCCAAGTATCTGTTCCACCTTTTCTTCTTGAAAATTTTTAAAAAGTCACAATTCCTCATTCCTTTTTCTCTGTGGGACATTATGTGCTCAATCCTGTATAAACACAACTCTTAAGTGCATAGGAAGATATTAATGTAACACATTTGCAGTAGAAAGGGAAGTATAAAGATTATAAGTATTCAGGCCATTTTTCACATTTTTAAAAGCCAACACTCTGTTTTGTTTATAATCAAGGTGTAAACAATATAGCAGGCTGAGAAGTCAGGAATACTCAATTGTGGAAGAATCACTTACCAGATCTTACAATATAATTTGTAAACCTCACAAAGCTTGCTGGAACAACATTGGACTTTTTCTCCACACTCAGATTTTCCTCACATTGTCAAGTTTCATTCTGTCCCAAACCCTGCTGCATATTATGTATGTGTCGGGGAGGGAGTTTGGTTTCACGACAGGCGGAGAATAAAGCCTTCCCCGTGTCAAGGAGTGCATTCCCCGCTAGGAAGAGTAGATTTGCCAGCACGTGCTCTGCCCCCTGTTACAGCTGCAGGGCAAGAATGAGACCCAACGGAAGAGCAGAGCGGGTCATGCTGGGAAGGGCGGCAAGGCCAGTGCTGCTCACAGTCTTTGGGCAGGTTGGTACCCACATCCCGTGCCAGTGGACAAGCACAGTCCTGTGAGATGCCGTCTTCTCCCTCGTTCTTTACTTCATTTTTGTTTTATAATGCTCCCCTCAGTTGACTTTTAGGGTTAATATTCAAGTATCCCCCTTGATTCATAATGGTTCTCTCTCCTGAAAGAACACAGAGCCCTTGGTTTGTGATTTATTCAGCTACTCCCTACCCTCCTTAACTCTTCCTTCACTGTTTATGATAGGTAGGTTTTGGCCTGTCTGAATCTTTCTTTCAGGGAATTAAGACCAGGGACACTTGTCTCCCGTCACTATCCTTTGGTGCTTGGCATGGTGATCACAGTCCACAGGCTATGACATCAGAGTAACCTGTGAGCTTTCTCAATCTATTGACCTGAGACCCCAGTAAATTCTTAGTGGACTGACAGAGGTCTTTTTTTTTTTTTTTTTTTTTTTTTTGTATGGGGGT